CTCACCCGCTTGATCTTAAAAGGTGGTATAGTCTACTCTTGCCGTTTTTAAAATCAGAATCTAGCCTTACATTTTTGGCTAGTCTAGATAACAGATTAAATCACCTGCATTTTATTTTACTTTTTGTCATATAAAATATTTAAATTCGTATTACCAATCTGATGAATGAATCTGTCCTTAAAAGTGGTCATAGTTGGAAGAGAAAAAATAGATTGGGAACAATCAAAATGAATAATATGTTTTTTCAGTCTCTATGATAGTTGATAATCTAGCGAAGGGGTGCATACTTGCGTCGAATCTTGAATTGTTTATGATGTTTTTTTTTTGGTTTCATTATAATTGTCATTGTATTGTGCGGATTGTCTCGCACAGAGTAAGAAAACGACATTTTCTATTTTTTCGTTAAGGTTTGACTATGGTCTCTTCTTGCAAGCTTTAAAGAAATATGGTATTTTATTGTTAAACAAAAAGAAAAGTATCATAACACATAAAAATCTAAGAAAATGTGCTGAATGAAAATGTGTTTTTTCTTCTTCTATTGATTTAAAAACCAATAAAATATCAAGCACGGAGAAACGTCTAATCGTCTATAACACGAAGTTACGAACTTTTGAGTCTTTGAAAGGTGCAACTCTGTCAAGTCAAGCTAAAGTGAAGTTTCTAAAAAGCCATAATCAGAGCTCAAGTGTTAAAAAAAATCTATGATGCAATAGAAACTAGAGAAGAGTATAAATAGACACTCATGTGTTCTTCAGTTGTTTGGTGTCTCTTAAGTCGTGAGCAGAAGATAGACAAGGCCTTTTAGATATTCAACTATTTCAGATCCTCCCAGCTTCGAAGTTCCAAAGACTCTATCGACAAAAGTGATGGGTACCTGCAGATGAAGATGAAAGCACCATAGACTCATGAATATGAATTAAACATAGTTTAAAAAGGAATCAAAACCACAAGTATTTATGAAGAGAGACCTCTTCAATATGGTATCCTTTTCTGGTAGCACGAACGATCATCTCCATCTGAAAGACATAACCTTTACTCACACATGAGCTAATCACGTCTTCAAGCACCGATTTCTTGTATAGCCTTTCAAATAAAAAGGTGAAGAGAGGTCAGTCATGATAACACCGAATGACATCAATAAAAATATGGACACAAATTACATAGTTGTATTTTACCGGAATGATCCAGTTAAATCAGATACACCAGGCCACAAAAGTGTTTGAGCCAGTACATTTGCTCCTCTACTTGTGAGTTTCCGCATAAGATTCCACCCGTGTACACCACCGCCTTTTACATATCGTGTACCAGTTACTATACTTGCATTTGTCTCTAGCTGTTTCCTTTAGAATACAAACAAAGTCAGTCAAAGTCATTATAGCTTATGAAATTGGTAAGCAATCAAGGGGCTCTTCTTTTCTTACTTGATGAAACTTGGCAAGTACTTTGGCTGCACAAGAGAAAAGTAATTGGGTTAGGTGACCAGAAAACAGATAGACCAGTAAACAAGAAAACTCAATTGGTGGCTCTTACATGATGTGAAAGATCAGCATCCATGATTACGACAAAATCACCTGAAGCATGCTTCAAACCATGGATATACGCAGTTCCTGAGATTGATCATACCAAGAAGATTAATTCAACTTCTCGTTAAGCAAAATTAGAAGACGATGAAGATACAATTTACATACCTAAACCAAGCTTCTTGGCTCTAGCCCTTAAAAGCTGCATCATAAAAAAAGACGAACACGAGTTCACCTAAACAAAAAAATGCGAAAGAGAAACACACAATAATATACAAATTCAGGTCCTAAATCGTCATTGTACTCACGATGCGGTCTTCACCATACAATTGCTGCAGTTGCTTGACAATTTCTTGTGTGCCATCAGGACTCCCATCATCCACAACAATTATCTCAAAATCAACATCCCTACATCATACAAGAAAGTAGCAAAGCAAATCATCTTCTTGTTTTTCATTTCTTCCAATCGTACAATTTTCTCGGTATTGCTATAAATTCTCAATAACATTTGCCAGAGAAGAGTCTACTTAACTATTTACAAGCAGCCACAACGAGAATCGAATCTGATATTACAATATCTAGCTTCTGATCATTCTCCGATCACTAAACCAAAGGTTTTTTAAAACAACATGAAACTACTCCTATATAGTTTGAGAGATCATTACATTGGCCTACTAGCTCATGCGCATAACACAACAATCACGAATCAAGGATCTAAAAGTTTCAATGTTAAAAACCATGATCGGAAAATTTCCGAGATCCATAACTTCTGATCCTTTCGGGGAAACCCCAGAAAAACCGAAACACTAATTGGCAATCAGATTCGAATTTAGTCATCCAGTCAAATGGGATCCAGAATTCAACATAGAAAATCAAAGTTGATCAACACCAGAAATTCGTCGCAAAACCGATTCTGAATCAAACAAAGAAATAGTGACTAAGATCGAAAAAGACATATATTCGTTTACCGGAGATGCTTGAAAACTAGGTAGACTATAATAGCGATATTGAGGCGCTCGTTGTAGGTAGGAATGAGTATGCTATACTTATACTTTTTCTCTCCTTTGGTCTCCTTCTCGTCCGCCATAGCAGTCGGAGCTATTTCTCCGATCAAAACCCTAAGTAGTTTTTGAAAAATCTCCCGGCGAGTTTTGCAACGGAGCTTCCTTCGTCTTGATCTTACCGATCGGCTCTGTGAAATCGGCGTCGTCTGTACAAAACAAAAATGTGTAAAATTCATTAAATGTTTAAAACATAGGGAGTAAAAAAGCAATTTATTAAAATTGGGCCTAATATAATAAATGGGCTTAATTTAAAGCCCAACATTAAATCGTCCGTCGTTGCTCTCTTCCTTCCGCCATTTTCCTTTTTTTTTTTCTAGGTTGCAGAGTAAAGGGGAAGGTTTTCTTAATTAGGGTTTTACAC